CGGAGGATGCGGAGCGTCCCTCGAGTTCCTTATTTCGTGTTTATCGACGCGTCTGGTGGGAGTTGGTTCAGTAATGCCAAATGCAGCGTGTACGTCGCTCACTCCTTCCTAACGGGATCAGATTCAGTTCTGAGGGGGTGAGGAACAAAAATAGTGAGAGACCTAAAATCGCCGCGTTCGCGCTCCCTGCTCGTGGGCCTGGGTCCGCGGGCAGCGCCCCGCTGGGTGCAGTGTGGGGAATGCAGGTGTCTCTGTCCCCCGCTGAAGTCTCCATCTCACGTGCTCAAAAATGAAGGAGAAAAAAAAAAAAAGGAAGAGCTATTAAAAGATTGTGGTGATTCAATACATGCCGTGGCTGCCAACACCGGCTTTGTGAGAAGAGGACGTGTCTCTGGGAGATGCAGACCCTGGGCCGGGTTACGGGTTTCGTTACCTTCGGCCTGACACATCAGCGTTGTGTAAGACTGCACCCAGCGCTGTGGGATTGCACAGAGCGGGACAGGCTGGGCTTTTTTGTTTGGTTGTTTTTTTTTGCTAGTCTCAAATTTTGAATTTCTCAAGCCCTTTTATGCTACAATTTACAAAGGAATGCAGGCCAGTGTCCATTTCTTTTTTTTTTTTAGGCTATTCTTGAGGGTTCAGGACATTTGAAAATTCTTTATCATCTGCTACAAAATTTAGTCAATGGTAAAAGTAGTTTTCTAATTTGCATGCAGAAGGTTGAAGTATCTGTGTGAGTGAACTACCAGTCTCTTCTCCGTATGTTGGCCAGAGCTTTCATGTTTAGTAAACAGGTTTAATAAACCACAGCCAGTTCTTCCCTTGCAGCTTTTCTTCCTTAGGTCTCAGCACTTTTTAGAAAAGGCATGAGAGAGCTCCATGTTATGCTCAGAGAAACTCAGGCGCTGAGAACCAATGCAACAAATACAACAGCAGAGCAAGAACTGAGCCTGACTGCTCTGCAGTTGACCTTTTTGGCAATTCATCAAACGATCCAAACTCAACAGTAACTGGGGTTCTGGCAGTAGGTCCCAAGTAAGGGCGCTATGCGGTGGATGAATTCCTGTGCTGCAAGCCCTGTTTTTGTCAGGTCATTCATCTGCAGTGCACGGAAGGTAACAAACTGCTCAGTGTCCACTCTGGTTGTTACAAAAGCTATTTCTTTAAACATGCGCCTCTTTACGCTGATGATAACTTAGAGTGGGCCGTCGTGCCTTCCTTCCTTTGGACCACCTTGATGGGGGACACAATCTTTAAATAGTTTTTCTTACTAAGTAAAATTAAAATGTGAAGTAGGTAGTCTTTACTGCCTGTTGAATGCAACATTTTTTTTTTTGTAGCATTCCTGATTTAGCCCAAATTAGTTGAGACTAGTGTCAGCTCATCTGGTAACCATTCACTGATTCCTCTAAAATTATCTGGTGGCTTCTAGCTAGGCTTATCTCAAATTGAATAGGCTTTCTTCTTGGCAATCTTGTCTGCTAGTGTGAAAAGCTAGTTCAAAGCAAACCAGAATGCCTGCCGGCACATGTGGATTTGTTGCTAGTGGGTACTGTGGTGGCGTTAAAAAAAAAAAATACAACCAAGAAAAACAGAAATTAAAAAAAAACAAACAGTAACAAAAAAAAAAAAAACCCAACACAGTAACCACAAAAAGCCTGGCTTGTTTGTGGTCTCGACTTACGCTCTTCACCAGGGCTTTGGTATCTGTGGCCAACTCTGAAGGCGATGGAAGCAGTGAGCAGCCTGATAATAGACACCGCGGGACAGGCTGTGCCCAGTGCCAGGCACAGTGCCTAATCTCCGCAGTGCCAAAAGCCCCGGGAAGCCAACCCTTCTGCCACCATCTCCTCTTTCTCTGGTGACGGTCACACCGCTAATCTGCAATAGCACATGTTCAGTGGCTGTGCCTGGGAAGCACGCTCACGCAGTTAACAGCCTTGAGGCTTCTCAGAGCTGAGGAATGACGGGCCTGCGAACAGGATCCACAGAGAAACAGGCTTTTCACGGGCCAGGTCTGGTATAAAGACAGACCTGGAGATTCACAGAAACGCAATTGGGGAGGAGTGGGAAAGAGGCACGAACCCACCTCCGCTTCACAAAGCGCCTCAGGTACTTTGAGTCATGTGTCATCATTTTTAAGACTCTATAAGGAAGTGCTCCAGAGGAGGCACATGATTCCAGGGAGCTATTTTTAGCAAGAGAAAACCCAATGTTAAGTGATTGCATATTTCTTTCACTTCCCTTTTTTTTTTTTTCTTGCTTGTGACATGGTCACGGTAAGTATATTTATTGTTGAAATTGTTTTGCCCAATTTTTTTGGACAGTGAATTAGCGTCTTCAGCCTATTCATAAGTTGTGGCTATTGTAGATTAATACATTATGTATTTTATGTAGTGTTTATTTAGTGTCAGTAGTTCTCTGACACATTGTGTCAATGCAACTCCCCTTTAGAATGCAGCAATTGAAGGTACCACACAGAATTGCACTATTGCTTTTAGCTAAGCATAGTTGGAGAAAGCGAGTGTGAAATGTACATGAATGAAATGAAATTTGCCCTCAAAGTAAGTGTCCAAATAACCTTCCCAGAATTTTGTCTTAGGAAATTACAGAAGATATCCCCTGCCATTATAGAAAATATCTACAAGGTAGCAATGGAACATAACTGTTGTGTCGTCTTACTGAATAAACTAAACTGTTTAGAGAACACTTATTCTTTGGAAAATGATTAAACTATTGTGTTTTAAGGAAACCAAATGAATCTACCTGAATTTAAAGTCTTGCTTTTATTGCTCCCTACTGAGGATGGCTCATAGCTTGGCAGAGGGTGACAGAATGTTTGCTAACTACTTTTTTGCAATGCACTTTTGGTGCTAAACTTTGTCTTAGGAGCACTTGTCTGTTCTTCTGTTGGCTGGTGGAAGCAGTGGAAGTCGTTTGTGGTGAGGAAGTCTGGAATAAGCTGATTTTTCTTTTGGAACAATACGGAAGCTCAGAGATTCCTTATCTCTAGCAACCCATAAAGTGGTAAAGTAGCTACTTTCAATGAGTCAAGTCCTTCCACGGTCATCTTTTTATACAAATAATTTAAGGTGCTTTCCTAATTATAATTTCTTTCCCTATTTTCCGAAGGAACACTTGCAAAGCCCTGACAGTCATCTGACATGTACTAAAACTACTATAAGCTTCCAGAAAACAGTCCATTCTGGGTTTCTGTTGCTCAGTGATATTAGCCCTGTTTATCAGCAGGCAACATGACTGTGTCGTGTTTTGCTCGGCCTTTCCTTTAATGCAGTGAAACATTTCACACAGTGAACGTTATAGTTCACTTCAGTGGAACTGGGTTTTCAGCTCCAGCATTCTCCTGGCAATTTCTAATATACTACATCTCAGATACAAGAAAATAATAAAGATAAGAAACAATGTATTTCTTAATGGCAGGAAAGGGAGAGCGAGGAGAGAAAAAGAGAGAGAGGGCATCTGTGCAAGTTAGTCACAGGTTGATTCAGATTTTAGATTGGCTGAAATTGATGGATTCTTATTAAATGTTTAAGGAACATGTATCACTGAGAGCGCAGTGTTATACTGATGTTTTACAAAGTGGTTTTTTTTTGGTTACTGATCCTGTCCCTCTTCTTCATGCAGTTAGGCATTGACAATATGATGCACATTAGTGAACTGCAAGTTTGCCTGGCAATGTGCTGAATGTTGTGATTATAGGAGGCTACTGCTCTATAGTTGTTATTGTTTTTATTATGGATGTTGTCCTGTATGACTCATATGATGTTAAAATTTAGATTATGTGGCAGAAGCACATGTACTTAATAAATTAAGATGGCTCATTTTTGGCTATAATCTCTATATGTGTATCTATTTATACATATATATTATATATAAAATAAGGAAACACAGATACAGTGTGCACAGATATTCATGAATCACACCGTTTGCTGCAGAGGGAACTGGAATTAGTTGTAAGGGGGTGTATGTGTCAATTTGCTTTTCCAAGCCACTCGGTAATGTACCTGTGCTCTTGTGCCCTGTACCCAGGCAGCAAAAAGGCACTTTGCCTCCTTGCGAAATGCTGTGATGAGCAGCCTGAGGAGCTGGCTACTCCCCTTGCTGGCTGAGTGACAGGCCCACTAGTATAAAAAGGCCCCTTGGGGTGGACTGCGCTGGGCGCAGCTGATACAAGCAGCAGAAACAGGGCTTGTTCTGGGGACTGCAACCAGAAAACCTGTGTCAGGTTGTAGCCACCAACAGGTCTAAGCTACACAAAAATGCGTGAAATTGTGCATCTTCAGATTGGCCAGTGTGGGAACCAAATTGGAGCTAAGGTAAGGTCTCTTTTCTATATCGGTCATTAGCAGGAAGCGCTGTCAGTGGTAGCAGGTTGAACATCGTTAACAGATGGGGAGAACAATTACTTTGTTAACTCAGTAGTGGGATGCATGGCATGATAGCAGCGAGTATGAGTACTTTGATGTGAAAGTCGTAAGATGGGCTTGCTCCTCATGCAAAGGTTAATGTTAAGACTGTCGAAGAATGAAACATCTGCAAGAACTATGACACAGTGATTGCAAGTGCTCCAGAGCATTCATGCTGGGACTCACATTCCCAGGGGCACTAATCCAGTCTGCAAATTACTGAGACAAGTGAAGGAGCCGGTAATTCCAGGGCTGCAAAGTTGTGATGCCACACTGCTGAGCCATGCAGCAGTAACTCTGCCACATTATAATCATGGCTATGGGATTGTATTATTCAACAGACTGACCTCTGCTATCAGTGACCAATTAGGCTTTTCTGAGTGGCACAAAGTACAGCGAAGGGTTCCTGCCTAGATGGCCTCCTTCAAGAAGCAGTCGTGTCATTTGGGGTACTTCTGTGCCGTTCAAACAGTGCCATACTGCTGACTTCGTGTGCTAGGAGATAAGAAAGACCCAACATTGCTTTTTGCTGTGTGATGTCCATCTTTTTTTTTTTTTAATTGATTAGTAGGAAGTTGTCAAAAACCAGTATCATCTGGGTTAATTTGGGTCTTGGAGGTCTTTGAGAACACATGACAGCTGAAGGATTGTTCCGTTGTGTTCCTCCTCCATCTCTTGCTCCCACAAATTGCTCCTTGATTCCTTTTATTGGAACATGAAGCTGTGGATGGCCAGGGAATGTCATGTTCGACCCAGATAGTTTGAATGCAGCCAGTGTGATAGCTGAAAGGTTTGTATTTTTTCTACTGGCTTTGACCTGGAAACCGCTTATGTCTAATAAGACCTGTAGAAAAGCATGTGCACACACACTAAAACACCATGCACATGTTGGCAATGGTGTATTTGTATGCTCAAAATGAGCCTGGATGCTGAACCAGAAGACTTAAAATTAAAATAGCCAGGTCATTATAGTGGGTGGGTGTGTCTACATTGCCATGGCTGCTGCCTAGATAAGAGCCCCAGTACAAGACATCCATGTGAACGTCAAGATAGGACGTTTAGGACTGACAGCTGTGGAAAGCATTGCTTGCAAATTTGTCTGAGCCAGTTTTGCTATTCCACAGTCCTGCTTGTGCATGACAGGCCTCATAGCAACCCTCCCCAATTCACTCTTCACCCTCCCCAATCCACTCTTCGTCCTCCCCCTGACTTTTTTGTTAATCTCATACCATCTAACACCTGTGTTATTTAAACTAGTATCAATTGTCCTTTACTGTAAACAGAACAAATTGAGGCCCTCCACCTATTAGTGCATGGGTGATAGCTAAGCAGCATAAATAGTCCACTAAACTTTTCCTTTTAACTTCTTTGGGGAGGTAGCCGGGTGGAGGCGGGTAGAGGAGAATCCCTGCTATGATCTAAAACATAAATGGTCAAACATCCAGTGCAGTTCCCACTATGATTAGTCAGGCATGAGCACAAAAGAGCTGATGTCCCGGGTGGGGGCAGGTAGCAAAATCAGATCAGGCATTTTTCTAAAAAAATGGCATAAAATCTAAAAAAATTTAGATCAGGCATTTTTGCTATGATCTAAAACATAAACGGTCAAACATCCAGTGCAGTTCCCACTATGAGCAGTCAGGCATGAGCACAAAAGAGCTGATGTCAAACATATTGTGCTGAAAAAAAAAGCAAATATTCGTGAGTGTATCGAACTTCTTTCCTTTTTCAGTTCTGGGAGGTGATAAGTGATGAACATGGGATTGACATCGCTGGAAACTACCATGGGGATGCGTCGCTGCAGCTTGAGCGAATTAACGTATACTTCAATGAGGCTTACTGTAAGTGCTCAGCGCTGTTGGGGTGTTGGCAGAGCAATTTGCAGAGCCAACGTGAAGGTTAAAATACGTAATTAAAAAAAAAAAAAAGTCCCCAAATCCCTGTAGGTGGGTTGAGTTTTTCAGAGTAGACTATAAGCCTGCCTCTTTCACTTCCAACAGTAATTGCTCACATTCATTTTTTTTGTCCTAGCCCGTAAATATGTGCCCCGTTCTATCTTGGTGGACCTGGAACCTGGTACGATGGACAGTGTACGGTCCAGCAAAATAGGCCCACTCTTCCGACCCGACAATTTTATTCATGGTATGTACAGTGTGCTGTCAGCAAACTAACTGGTGTCAACTGTCCCAAAATGGCATTTTAACTCCCATCTGTGTAGCCTTTAAAAATTCTCGTTAACTTTGTGGCTGTTCTTCCTGTAATTCTGTTTACAGGTAATTCAGGTGCTGGAAACAACTGGGCTAAGGGCCATTACACAGAAGGCGCTGAACTGATTGAAAACGTCATGGATGTGGTCAGGAACGAGTGTGAGAGCTGTGACTGCCTTCAGGGATTCCAGCTCATCCATTCGCTTGGTGGTGGTACAGGCTCAGGCATGGGCACGCTCCTCATCAACAAAATCAGAGAAGAATATCCCGACAGGATTATGAACACTTTCAGTGTTGTGCCTTCACCCAAAGTATCCGACACAGTCGTAGAGCCGTATAATGCCATCCTCTCCATCCATCAACTAATAGAGAATACCGATGAGACCTTTTGCATCGACAACGAAGCTCTATACGATATATGTTTCAGAACTTTAAAGCTCACCAATCCCACCTATGGTGACCTCAACCACTTGGTGTCCCTAACGATGAGTGGTGTCACAACCTCACTCCGTTTTCCTGGGCAACTGAATGCAGATCTGAGGAAGCTGGCTGTCAACATGGTGCCCTTTCCTCGCCTGCATTTCTTTATGCCAGGCTTTGCTCCACTGACAGCTCGAGGTAGCCAACAGTACAGAGCCCTCTCCGTGCCAGAGCTTACTCAACAAATGTTTGATGCACGCAACATGATGGCAGCCTGCGACCCTCGTCGTGGACGCTACTTGACAGTCGCATGCATCTTCAGAGGTAGAATGTCTACCAGAGAAGTGGATGAGCAGTTGCTGGCTATCCAGACCAAGAATAGTTCCTACTTTGTGGAGTGGATCCCTAATAATGTCAAAGTGGCTGTGTGTGATATACCACCACGAGGATTGAAGATGGCAGCTACCTTTATTGGCAATAACACAGCCATTCAGGAGCTCTTCATCAGGGTTTCTGAACAGTTCTCAGCTATGTTCAGAAGAAAAGCATTTCTCCATTGGTACACTGGGGAAGGTATGGATGAGATGGAGTTTTCTGAAGCAGAAGGTAACACCAATGACCTTGTGTCCGAGTACCAGCAGTACCAGGATGCCACTGCAGACGTTGAGGAATATGAAGAGGTAGAGGTGGAAGCTAGCCCGGAAAAGGAAGCACTGTAAAAACAATGGTAATAATAGCAAAACATTTGCTGAATAAGCCTAGTGACACTCACTAAAGAAAAAGCAGTAGCCATTAGCCACACACTGAAAATAACACCTGTCTTAAGAATGTTTTTCTCTGCATCTGGCCAAAATATATCCACTGTTACAACACAATGCTTTTGAAGTTAATGGCAGCTACGCTTTACTCTCCTAAACAACTGTTGTCACTGAAACTCGACCAAAAAAGAGCCACTATGAAGACAAGTTGTCTCGACAGGCTTTCTTGTAAATGTATTCGCTTTTAGAATATCACCAGATACTGAATGTAATATAGAGCCTCTGTGTCTATGTATCAGACTCATAAGCAACAGCAAAACGGGCTACCAACTCCTCAAATTTATTTATTCTCAGGTAAACACAGTCTGTGTTTTGTTTGTGACCTTGTTACTGCTTTAGGAACACATGAACACCTGTACAGCCTATAAAGGCAGTTATCTATTTTATTACACACTCCACAGACTGATCTAGAGCTGCATACAAGTTCAGCTCCCTAAATTGCAGAAGGAGGGAAACAACATGGGGCAAAAGTCTGAACATGCACTTTTTTTTTTAAGTATGTACTTTAATAGTTCTACCACATTGATGGCGTATATTATTGCAGAGCTTGTGTTTATTATCATCGTGTGGTTTGTTTCTATTTCAAACTATAGATTGTTACATTAGCATGCAAAGTTTTGGTGTGGTCCTTTTTTCCCCCCATGTACTAACTACTGTAAGTTTTCTTCCTGTCATTCAGTACAGCAAAATGGATGGAATGGTTTGCAGCTAGTTAGATACAAGTTCAACAGCAATCACTAAATCAAAAAAACATATCTTCACTTCAGGAAAAAAGTTTCTTGCCATTCATAGCCATCTACCTAAGACTGTATTTATAATATTCTTTAAAATAAAAATTATATACCATTCTATAAAATACTTTATACTTGAAATGTGATAGACAAAGATCATTGTTTATTCTTGTAAGGACTAACTTTAAATTACATGAAAAAATTCAGCTTGTTTCATTATACTCTTAGAAGAGAGAGTTTGTTATACTGTGAAAAGTAATGCCTCAAGTTGGAGCCAACAGTGGAAAGGTTCAGGTGAACACAAACTTGAAGCCAACACTGTAAAGATGCTGCATTTCTTCCTGTGCAGTGGGACAATGCTACACTTGCTGGGAAGCCACTGGGCAGCAGGAACACGCAAACACTTCCCCCAAACCAACACGGCTCAAAGTATGACCTTGCCCTTGCCCCAGCCAAGAGCAGATGGAGTGCCACCCTCAATTCCTAATGCTTCGCAGGGAATGCATGTCCCTCTCCCTCCCAGTGAAGTGACAAAGTGATAACAAGAAGGACAACCAATAGTTGAGTAATCAGAGCATAGTCCAGGGATTTCTGCACCTCCTCCACAGGATGCCAGGTGTCCAACTCCTGATCCATTGTCTGTGTTCCAGACAGCTTTGGAGATCAGATCTCGTATGTCTACAGAGAAGTATCCTGCTTCCAGTTTAGTTGTAACTCTAGGCCTCATCAAATTGATTTTCACTGAGTTAGTTTTGTTTTAAGCACAAATGGAAGATGAACACCATGATGACCGGATTTTAAAGCCAACAGCGTGCCATTTCCAGCAGAGAGAACTGACAGAGGTATTTTCAATTATCAAAATTTATGCCTATATTCTGTTGACATAGGTTTTAGTGAAGAAAACTTTTTTCCAAAGAATCACTAATCATTGAAATGAAGTAGGAAGAAAGGTTTTAAACAACAATTAAATCTCTCACTCACTGATGTACCTGAAATACCAGCATGAAATCCAACAAGAGGTTTGCCTTAAAAATAAACACGTTGGTACTGAATGGTAGACTGTGATAAAAACAGTCTTCTATTTTAACACAAGTGAAAGATAAACGTCTCTGCAAAATGGCGCACTTAGTTTCAAGAGGAACAACACTTTCCACACATTCAACAGAAATTACGTTTATTACCATGCTGATTCACATACAGAGGCAAGTTTTGCAGTTAATGTGACATTACATTGCAGAGTCTTCAGCTTGCCTACACCTTTGCAGTTTGCTGTCAAGAGTATTCATTACAGATCAGTTCCTATGAGAGATTTAAAACACAAGTTATTCGATTCAAGAATACGTACAAGATACACTTCAAACAAGAAGTAATAACATTTGAGGAATAAAAGCTGTTCTACTAAGAACAGAAGAAATTTCAGCTGCTCACAACGCATGCAATGTCACAAATAAAGGTACAAGTTTCACAGACTTAACCTTTACAGGTTATCCACAGATAACCCTTACACAAATATGTCTACTGGTTAAAGGAAACTAGTTCAGAGAGGCTGTCACTTGACTTAGTAAAGTAAGGGAAAGGAAACCTATGAGCATCACCACAGAAACTCAGCTGTCTTGCATAAATCCATAACAACTTTGCCCAAACCCCAAATCTTTCAGAGCAGGGGCTTGATGGAGAGCACATCTCTCTCTCCTGAACCAATGCGATTATGCGGTTTCCTAGGCACATAGGAAACCATCCTATGCAGGTTTCCATCCTGACAGGATGCAGAAACAGCTGCACACGTTTGCACTAAACCAGTCAGCGATCCATTCCAGTTCCATACAGGAAGATCAGAGCTGATATTCCACATACAGCATGAAACGAGCCAAGCAGTTCCAGACCATTGTTAACCCGACTCACACCGGGAAACCGACACTCCTCGGATAAAACGCTCCCATAAGGCCCCCCGGCCACTCGAGTCACTTACGTTTTAGTCCTTCTTGGGTTTCACAGTTTTCACCGTGGCCATCGCTGCCCTCTCTGCCTCTGCTTTGTACTGAGGCTTCATTGCCGCTCTGACCACCTGGGCACAGATCTGGGAATACCGGATATAACTAAAGACAGGAGAGAAAAGCGGGGACAACACGAAGGTGAGAACCAAAAGCATCCCAAAAGCTTCTCCATCCCGCCCGGAGGCACCGCTGTGACCCGCGAGCCCTCCCTGCAAAGCCCCCGCCTCCGGCCGCTACAGCTATCGCAAGGGAGTCGCGAGAGCAGCCTTGTCGCGGTCGGGCGGTACCTCAGCCCGGCCTGCCGCCAGTACGCCACCATGGCCGCGGCGCCAGCCACACTCGGGCAGACGGAACGCTCCGCGCCCGGCAAGGTCAGCGCCCACCGGAACGGGAAAGGCAGCCCCGCCGTGCCCTAGCCAATCAACAAGCAGGAGTGATCCTTCCGCCAATCGGAACACGGATTACCTCAGGGAGGTTGACCAATGGCAACTACCCAGCTGCCCCTCCAATCCCAAGCGCTCTCCTCTGGCAGCGACCAATCAGAGGGCTGAATAAGGCACGCGAGCCCTGGTCTTTCCCCGTGAGGGGACGCGGCGGGAGCGCGATGCGCGCGCGGCCAAGGGCGGCGGGAGCGGCCGGCGGGGCCGGGGTTCCTCCCGCAGGCGCAGGGCTGTGGGCAGCACCGTACCGCACCGCATCCATGTGTTTCTCCCTGTTCCCCCGGTAGAAACTGCTTGGGAAAGGCTCGGGGCCTTCCCGGCGTGGGAAGGCCTCAGCTCCGCCTCCAGGTGTGGCCCGTTGGGACCTGCCTGGGGGGTGCGAAAAGCAGCCGTGTGAGGGCCCGTCCCGAGAGTCAAAGCCCGTAATTGCCGGAAGCGCACTGCTCGTCAGTTAGCTAAAGAACAGAAATTAAAGCCTGACTCTTCTGTGAGGCGAGTGGCTAGTTATATAGCACTTAGTTGCATATTAACTCATTCCTAAGTAATCCTGTTGCAAATCCAAGCAAGTGGTTAAAAGCATGTTTGTATTTTTTTATTCAGCCAAATCAATTGTTACCCCTCTGTGCCATCAGTTCTTAGGTTTTGCTGGGTAAGACTGTAAAGAAGAAAATGGTTTACAATCGTGTGCAGCCAGTGATTTTTATAAACAAAGACTCTCTATTAGGAGTTTGAATCCGCGTGTGGCCAAGCCATGTCATATTCAGAGTTCTACTGCATCGGACGTGATGCCTTGGCATGGAATTCTTTTGGATCTGAGACCATCCATGCATACACTAGAATTTATAATCAATCATTTGTTCTGAACAAATTCATAAAAGACACCATAGCAAACCAGGAGCTATCATCATCTGTCTACACTTGATGGAAAAATAGACAATTTTCCATATATAATAAGCAAAAAGCTATCAGAAGACTCAAATCATGTTTGATAAGAATCAATTTCTTCCTAACCTAATGTTCATCTAAATAATTAGGACTAGGGACCCAAGAAGATTATGGATTGGGTTTTTATTAAGTCCTTGCACTTAAGTATGTATCCCTTTTCTCTCTATTCCTTCTGTCCAGAGCCAAACCACATCACAAAATACACAAAAATCCTCCAGAAACTGTACAGGTCTTGAGGAAACGTTGGTGACTTTGGTCTTCTTTGCACAGAGGCCTTGTGTCTTCCTACCAATTTTGGTATTGCTGAGGTGCAAATCCCTGGAAATCACACAGTGATTTCATATCACTACGCAGCGATGTTTTCACGTGCAGAACATTGTTAAAGCACAGAGTAATTTTCAGCTTTATTGGAGATCTCACCTAGTCTGGAGCCGTTGCAATTAACGATCCACGCATCATAACGTCAGTATAGAACCACCAGAACTAAAAGAGCAATTATTCACCAGGTATGTCAAAGTCTATCTTCAGAACAGCATATGACAGTATGAGAAGCTTGCCTATTAGTGTAATTAGTAGGAACACAAACCAGGAGGAAAGGGTGGTAAGATGGGAAGAATTTCCTGTCCTTAGTTTGCCTACTTAATCTCTCTGCTGAGATTACTGAAGAAGACTCTAGCTAGTGCCAGTTGTGATGACACTGTTAAAAATGGACACTTTAGGACACTGCATTGCTCTGGTTCCTTCCATAAGCACCAACAATTTGTGATTTTTTTCTTTTTGAATAATTGCTAAACAACTTTACTCCTATTGAATTTGGGGTTCATTTCTAAAAAATCCGTACAA